TTTGAGAGCAAGAGTCTCGTCTGTGTGTGCCCAGGTAGAAAGTGCAATCAGGCGCTTTCTTCAGTATAAGGTAGTAAGGCTTGGCAAATAGGTGCCAGCTTATACCTTAGGTTTGTTTTCTGTTATTCAAGGTGTTGCAGGTAGACAATCAGGTCTATCTTTTGAAGTAACATCTTCTGTGTTAGTGCTTACTCTTGTACCACCCGTCTTTGTTTAGGTGTTAACAACTCAGTGCTGCCTTTTAGATATCTCTCCTGTGCTAGCAGTCTTATACAAGTGAGACGGCTACCCCTTACGCGAATACGTGTCTTCCCTTATTCCCTGCCTACACAACTTATTCTAGTGGTCTTCCCCTCCTCAACGAACACCCGAGGCAGAAGTTGATCTTACGTCTGATCCACCTAACTCGGATAAAAGTGCGGTTGTTTTTAAGTGGCTAGTTCCACGCTCATTCAAGTGCGTCTCGCCTACCGTTTTTCCCCGCCCTTTTACACCACGATAACGCATGTGGAACCTATTCATGTTTAATTTATTACTTGGATAAATAAAGAAAACTAAACTTACCTGAAGGATCTCGTGGAATACTTCCAAAGCTTTCCACTCTTCATTGTTCATGCTATACTTGCGAAGTTCTGCAAACTCTGAACCATAGAGAAATTGTTCAATTGCCTATAAATAAATAAGCCTGAAAGTATACAGTATGCCAAAATAAATTGTTACCTCGCGAAGTAGAATAGCCCAATCTATCATGAGATATGTTGATGACCACCGTGTCTCAATGTCTTTGAGAAGCTGCAGAATGGCCATATCCATGTTGACTAAAATCTGCATAAAATGCTGGCGACGCAGTGCAGATGCACGAATCTATACATCGAGGTAAGGCAAATCACTATCTTGTATAGATTAAATTAAACTTACTGCTCTAATGAGAGAACGTAAAGTTGCGATAGGGTCATGTTTGACTGCATCAAGAAAATTGTGTAGCGAAAACTTTTCTGGCTCAAAATCTTGCGACGTTTCCTTGACATACTCAAGTTCAGTTATAGCACTAAGAACACTTTGGCATGCTAAGTTGACAACATGTGGAAAGCAGCTACAGTTATTTTGAGCAATAAACTGCAATTGATTTATTGAAATATACACACCGAATGCGACGTTGAAGCTTGTCAAAAGCAATTCCACGCTTTCGCAAGGTTTGCTCAAGAGCCTCCATGCAGGTGTCATTGTTTGTTGCATTGTCCATTGTAATCCAGCCAATCTATATATTTTTAAAGGATAGTAAGTGGTTTAATCATTTTAAGTTGTTAAAATGGCTGTACCTTGTTTGTGATCTTGATATGGTCCAGGATATAAAGGAATGCAGCCGCAAGATGCTCACCGATGTGTCTGGAGGGGACACGATGAAAGCCAATAAGATCTGCACGAAGTCGAAGCTGCGGCTGAAGTCTGTTACCACGATCTTCAAGAACAAGCTGCAGCCAATGTGCAGTAACTGCCATGTACGGCGATAAAAATGGGTCAGTCCACATATCCATTGTGAAGGATATGCTGCCAACTGCATTCTATAATTAGGAATTAGAGCAGAATGTTTTTGTAATTTTTTCGCCACTTACCTTCATATCCTGGCTAAGCTCCTTGAGATACTCTTCAAAAACCTCACCAACTCGTGTTCGAATAGTGGTCCACCCAGGAATATCTTTCTCATGCAGCTCAGAACAAAGCAAAAGAAAGATATTGCGAAGCTGTGGATTTTCAATGACGCGTAAAGGCTGCAAATATTTATTCAGATTTAAAGCACAATAAAATGTAAATTTAAAGCACACCTGATCGTCAGCAACAATCCACTCAGTAATGTAATCCACAAATAGCTCCTTGGTGAACTGTGGCCGGCTGTTATCTGCTTGTGCAACATCTGGTTGTCCACATTGACGTCGCCTCCAGGCTTCGACTTGTGCCGTAGCACACTTCGCTGTGATTTTGACCTGCACCTTATCGCATGCCTCCACTCACTCGTCAAGATGAGCATCTCGGAAGTGCTTTCAGGGGTTGTCTGTGCCTGCAGTAGTCCAGGTGGACACATGGTGATGAGGATTCTGTTCATGCATAAACCTGGCGAGTTTTTTTTAGAAATAAGTGCAAAGAAATAGCTGAAAGAAATTCATACAAGCAAAACTTGCATTTCTTGTGTCCATTCTCATCTGTCTCAATGAAGGGCCAGACATCCTTAGCTTGCTTGCCTTGTCTGTTGCCTGCAGGCCCATGAGGCGATTTCTGACGCTGACCAGCAACAGGTGAATTGGGAGGGCCTGCTAGCTTGCGAGTTGGGGTGGCAGGAGTAGGCAGGAGATCATGTGAAGAGCCTGCAGCTGGCGTTAGACTAGTAGGCAAGTCTTCAGAGTCGTCTGCAATATCAATGTTGATGTATTCACAACTATCAGCAACTGGAACAGATCTACAAAGATCCAAACATTAGAGCATAGCAATTTGCAGTATTGGTCACCACGCACTTGTCTATCGAGCTCTCCCCACTTGGATTGTGCTGGTGATTGGCACGACCTCTCCGGGGTGATGCAAATGCCATGAGCACCTCTCCTTCAGCAACATCCTGAACCCCTGGACCTTTCCTACCACCTCTCTTCTTTGCTGGGGAACCTTGGACAGCATCTTCAGATGAGAATTCATCTACAGAATTCAAGATGTTATCAGCAGACAACATCAAACTGCACAAAAGCTCAAAAAAAGCGCACCAGACAGCCTAAACTGGGTCATAACAGCTCCATTGTCAAACTCAACATGCTTAGAGGCCACCTTTTGCCTCTTAGGTGTCTTCTGAGGGGTCTCGGCAGCTCTCTTCTTTCCATGGTTGCGAGGAGGCATAGTGGCA